AATCCGCAGTCATAATGGATTGTCTTAAGCAGAAATCATTGCCGGACATCCAGCAAATCATCAGAGCAGCACCGGGTACCCTAACTACCCCAGGGGAGCTTATTAAGTATGTATTAGATCATCAGAGGGTCATACCGTTAACTTATGAGGGACTAGCAGCCGCCATGCAGGGAATGGCTGCTTCAGTTAGTTCTGCGGTTAAGACTGCGGTGATGTCAGCCACTCAGGTCAGGGAAGAAAGGGATAAAGGCCCGTGCTTTAAGTGTGGGCAGCGTGGCCATTTCAAGGCGCAGTGCCCTGAGAAGACGGGGCAGGGTGGTTCACAGGGACTAGAGAAGCGGTGCCAATTGTGCGGCGGAGCTGGACGTGTTGCACACCAATGTCGGAAGTTTGTCATAGTGCCGCAGGGAAACGAGGATGGGAGGGTGCCGTAGGCCCAGGGCCCCTCCCCCGGAACACCAAATGGGCCAGACAATGCAACTCTGCCCACCCAAGATCGGGGTCCCGTACCTCAGTGAGCTGCTCGCCCACAGTAGCGTTAACCATGGGAATGGGGGAGCGCCTCTTGGGCAGGATTATGCTTACTTGTGCAGGAAGCGTACTTTTTTGCAGATCCCCCGAGGAAGAGAACGCTGCAAATATGCCCTCAGCTATGACTATAAACATCTCGTCCGCACCATCGGCATCCCCCTTCACCGCCCCCTTGGATTCAGCTTCGCATAAACAAGTAGAAGAAGACTGCGCTAAACTGTCTGCACTTTTATCATGCAACACCGGCCAAGTGCAGGAATCCAAGGTCGCTGAAACTTCTCAGCCTTACTCAGGACAACCGCTGTATCCTTCTCTGTGTAACCTAACACCACCTGTGGGGGCAGGGGGAAAAGTGAGCTGGGATGGGACACTTGCTGTCTCCTCTCAGGAGGTGGAATGCAGTAACACCCAGGGGGTGGGGACTGCGGGCAAGGCTCGGGTATGGATTGGTCAAAAGTTAGAGAAGCGGTAGGAGAAAAAACAGCAGAGAGAAAGGGAAGCGATGTAACTTACAGGTGCTCGGATGATAGTGTACAGCCAGCACTGTCCACTCTGACTGCACCTGAAGGAGTAGGTGGCATCCGGCCGGCGCCCTCTGGTCAGGTTACACCCGATGGAGAAAGAAATAACGATAGTCTCCGTACCCACTCTCTGTCACAGTGTTCAGACCCATTGACTCGACCCACACATCCTTTTACAAGATTGAGTGCGCATGCAACCAATCAGAAGCCTCTACAACAGTCAGTGCATGATCAAAGGGAGATGGGCACAGTGGGAGCGGTGAGGAGCTCGCAGCTTCCAGCTGTGACTGAAAAAGATAGTGAAAGGAGAGAGGTGAATTTGCATTTAGGAGTTAAGAGAGATGCACTAACAGATTGTGGGAAGTTTAGATCTAGCCTGATAGAGGAAGGAAAAGTACTAGAGATCTTCCTGGTAGTAGGGAACGGTAACAGAGGCCTGGGAGGGGTATCCCTCAATCGGAAAGACATCACATGCCTGATAGATTGTGTAGAGAAACAGGGATTGAAATCACTCCTTGCTTTAAATGCATTAGAAATCCTGACAGTATTAGGCCTTGTCTTTCTGCATGTACCAAATCTGATGTGCATGGTGCTTAAGCCAGTGCAGTATACATTATGGGCATTAGAATGGGTCCCTTCAGGGGCAGGTGGCCAGATTGAGGCCTGGAGAGCAAGCAATTCCAAACAGCAGGTTTGTGAGAGCACTGCTCTCAAGGCTTGAGACATCTGCCTTGATACTGAACAGACGTTTCTTATTTTTGAGGTACTTTCCAACAGGTACCTGAGACAACGTTGGTATATATTGGGCATAGATAGTGCCACTAGAGCTATCAGCAATCACTCTAATCTCTAATCTCTCTGTCTATAACTTTACTAGTATTGTAGGGTTATTAGGGTAGGATTATTTTGCGAATTGGGATGTAACGGGGCAAGGCTTAACCGAGAGGACAATGGCATGTATAGGCGCAATACGGGGATTTCGGGGTGTACGCGGTTAGGGTCCTCTCGAGTTGTAGTATGCTTTCTTGAGCATGGAGAGGGGGAGATGTTGTCAGCAACTGCGAAACTACGAGACCCCCCCGCGGGGTCTGATGTGTTAAGCTCCCTCCCTGCTCTAATGATTGATGTGTGGTGTGTGCCCTTAGGGGCGTAGACGAAGTAATTAGGCTATATAAGGTAGTGTATACGTGTAATAAACGCCATTTGCTGCTCATCATATTGGTGTCACCTCAGTAATTGGCCAAGCTGCGGTCTCCTGGGAAATCGGAACGGGCGCGTACGGCAACAGTTCTTATCTTCCTGGCCTTGCCAGCAGATAAGAGGGAGCAGGAAGGCGCCACCTTGTATCTTGCCTTCGCAGGATACAATGGCATTGTCCCTCAGTCTTCCATAGCAAACAGGAGTTATTTGGTAACAGGCTAGATCTTCTGCCAGTAAACAGTCCTGAGCACTATCTTCCGAAGGCAAACAGTTCCAAAGATGTAAAATTGTCCACACAGCGATGTTGATTGCCACACAACATCCATCACTTGCCTCCTCAACAAAATACCTAAGGAAGCAAACTTTGAGCCAAAAAAACAAAGAAGGATTCTCACACAGGCCAGCCACGAGCTTGGGCCTCACGGTAGAGATCAAGGGTACCAGTATGCCCTCTTTTTGAGTGTAACCATTCTAGAAGTCTCTCCCAGTTGTCATTGTCTGGTTCTCCCTGTCGCAATGGAGCAATCCTGGCTAGTTCATCTGCTTTATTGTTCCACTGACTTGCAGGAGTCCCATTTTCTTGGTGGGATGCAACCCATGCAACAGAAAATTGGCCTTGTTTGGCAATAGCAAGAATCTCCTGCCACTTGTCTTTTTGCCAGATTGGGATACGATTAACTTCCCAGCCGTTTTGCTCCCAGAAAGGAAGCCATTCTGTACAACCTTTAAAGACTGCATATGAGTCAATGTAGATATGCACACGAACAGTGGACTGTGATTCATGCTGGAATACACTCCATACTGCTACCAATTCCCCAACCTGGGCACTGCCTTCCCCCTCAGTAACAATAGTGAAATTAGTCCCAATCTGTAAGGCCACAGCCCGATATTTCCATACTTTTCCTTCACGTTTGGCTGAGGCATCTGTGAACCAAACATTCTGTACTTGGTTTGAGAATGGGGGAGCAACCTGGATGACAGGAGGAAGATCAGCATCAGTAGCAGAAGGAGTATTGTCCTGAATGGAAAGTGTTTTTGGAGCACCTTCTGAGACTGTAAAGGTATTACAATAATGTTCAATTTGGGCATACCATTTTCGGACAGAAGCACGCTGTGCCACCCCGTCAGGAGGGGGAATGCCAGACATTACAGACTTGATAACCTTGAATGGGCCTCTCAGTATTATAGGCTGCTGTCGTATTGTCCGTTCAGCTTCCCTCAGGGCCAGGCTAACAACAAACAACCCCTTCTCTAGCTGAGAGTATCGTTTCTCTGCATCTTTGAAACTACGAGAGTAAAATCCAGTAGGTCTAATAGGACCCTCTGGACCCTTCTGCCAGAGATGTATGGTCAATCCTGACTGAGCAAATCCCCATTCTATCTGCACAGGGTCAGAGGGATGAACAGGACCTAAGGCCTGGTGAGTGACAGCTTCAAAAATTAGAAGCTGCAGAGCTTCTTCATGAACTGGAGTCCACTCCCATGATACTCCCTTCCACAATAAGTCATACAATGGACGGGCAATGATAGAAAAATCTGGGATGTGTTTTCTCCAAAATACCAGAAGTCCGAGAGCATGCTGTAATTCCTTTTTGTTTTCTGGCATCTTAAGTTTGTCCAAGGCTGAGAGGGTGTCTTGTGGAATACAGGCCATACCGCCCTTCCACCAGATACCCAAAAATTTTACCTCAGCCGCTGGAGACTGAATTTTATCTGGTGGAATAGTCAAACCCAGTCCTTCTTAGTGCTTTATTATTCTGTCATGGGTTGTCTTAACAGCTATCAGCTGATCACCTCCTATGAGGATATCATCAATGTATTGATAAATTTTAACTCCTTCTTCTAGAGGAATCCGCTCAAGTTCTTGCGCCAATGCATGGTGAGCCAAAGTTGGAGAGTGTTTATACCCCTGAGGGAGGCGGGTAAATGTATATTGCTGGCCCTCCCATGTAAAAGCAAAACGCAGCTGATCATCTGGATGCAGGGGAACCATAAAAAACATGTCCTTAACGTCAATAGAGGCCATGATAGGGTGAGCTTGCTCCTGGATGGCTGCTATCAATTCAGAGAGATTAGGTACAGCTGCAGTTAGTGGCGCTGTGTTAGCATTGAGCCTGCGATAGTCAATAGTTAACCTCCATTTGCCATTTGGTTTTCTGACAGGCCACACAGGAGAGTTAAAAGGGGAGTGAGTGGGTATTACAATTCCCTGTTCCTTTAATTCTGCCAACACGGGGCTAATACCACTACGTGCCCCCAGGGGTAAAGGATAAGGTTTAACAGTAGTCAAGTGGGAGGGGGGGAGCGGGGGCGCGACCTGCAACATGCGAATGTCTAGAGTGGGGGCGCCGAACACCCAGCTCCCTCCCTGGTCGTCTATCCAGCTTCTACCTTTCAAGACGTCTAGTCCTAATAAGTTAAGGGGATATTTTCCCACAACCATGGAGATTTCTTGCGCTACTTCCTCTCCAGGTATTCGCAGCCTCACTGTTGCCATGGTTTGAGAGTGCACGCCGCCCATCGCATCTGCTACAAATATTTTCTTGCGGGATAGGGTCACACCAGCACTATCAGCATCCTCTGTTTTAATGGCAGAAATTTGTGCCCCGGTATCTCCCAGGAAAGTTACTGGGATCAATTTAGGTTCAACAATGCATGTGATTAACAGATCATTACCTTTTGTTGTGAGCTTTCTAATGTGCATCCAACCTCCGCCCCTGCTCACTTGAGAGGAGCCAAGGCACTAGTTTCAAGAAGCTTCAGTTTTCCTGATCTTAAAGGGAAACACGCTTGACAATGAAACACTGAAGGACATGGCCGAGGTGTACATGACCAATACCATTGCACCTCTGCTGCTCAGCCAGGTAATGTGCTCACCCACAGCTCCAGGAACGTCCCTGTACTGCATCCCTGAGGTCCTCAATGCAGGAAGGATGGGGCCCGTGGGACAGAGCCCTCCTCTACTCTCTCCCTGCTGAGTTCCTGCCCTGGTGTCAGGTCCTGCACATTTCAGGTCCCACTCAGGTCCTTTGCTCTCAGGAGTAGGTGTTCAAATCAGTGCAGAATGGGCTGAGCACAAGATGCCCATTCCGGTTGAGACCAGGAGGCAGGCTGAAGCATTTGGCACTCTGGAGCCTGGGGCCACAAGATAAGAGAAGAGTGCAGAGGTACAGGACATGCCAGAGAGCAGAGTATCGTGATGTGAGCCAGGAGAACAAGAACTTGCACTCTGCCTTTCTTCTGAGCACTGATGGGCGGTTGAGTGTTGATACCGGCTGATTGCTGGTACTGTCCAGTGTCCCTCCTTGGAGATGCTCAAAAGTCACCCGGACGTGGTCTTGGGCAATGGGCTTTTGGTGACTTTGCCTGGGTAGGGGAGGTTGCACCAAATGATCTACAGAGATATCTGCAAACAACAACTGTTCTATTTTCCTGTACTCTGATATGATCTACTATCGAAGGGAACAGGCCCACCCAATGAGCCTCCTCTGTGCATGCTTCTCCTTTCGCTCCCCACAGGCATTCCTGCCACTGCTGAAGAAGGCAGCCCAGGGGAGCCCAGGCTCAGGGATGAGCTGCAGCAAAGCAGCCATTGCCAACATTTCCAGCACTGTGGGTTCAATCAAAGAAGTCTATTTATGGGAAGGTGTGCAAGCTGTCTGTTACCGCTGCAGCAAGGTATGTGCTATGATCATTTTCCTCTCTGTTAATGACTTCAGCACCCCTCGAGTATATCATCTCTGAAAGTGTCTGCATCTCTCTGCTGTGGCTGAGCTCCTGACTTTTCATACACCTCTCTCACAGCACATTGCCCCAGGTCCCACCTGATCCCTGTGCTGTCTCCCACAGGCTGCCCAGAACATGCTCACCAGGTGCCAGTCCATGGGGTACCGGGAACACGGCATCCTTTGCGTTGCTCTCCATCCCGGATGGGTGCAAACAGAAATGGGCAAAGAAGGAGGAGCTGAGGTAGGAGCTTCCCCACATTGGGTCCATGCACAGCCTGTGCTGGTCTCCCACGGAGGCTGCTGTCTCCCGGAGCCCTCAAGGGCTCGGGGCTGAACCTCCTCATCAACAACGCTGGGATCGTAAGGGCAAACACACTTGACAATGAAACACTGAAGGACATGGCCGAGGTGTACATGACCAACACCATTGCACCTCTGCTGCTCAGCCAGGTAATGTGCTCACCCACAGCTCCAGGAACGTCCCTGTACTGCATCCCTGAGACCTTTGGTGGAGCAAAGAAGGGGCCATTGGGATCGGACCTTCCTCTTC